GGAGCGTATTTCAGAGCGCGCGCGAGCGCCGTCCATAGCGCACGAAGCGCGCGCGCTCGCCCTGCTGTCTTTCTTTCTCTCTCTCTCTCTATTTCTTTAATCTTCTCTTTCCCTGTCTTTCTCTCTGCAAGGCGCGCTCTGAGCGCGCCTTTCTAGAGTGTATTTCAGAGCTTGCAAGCGCGTCGTCCATAGCACACGAGCGTGCGCGCGCGCGCTCGCCCTGCTCGCGCCCTAAGCGCGCCGTTCTGGAGCGTATTTCTGCTCTCTTTCCTTCTCTCGATCGCTCTCTCTCTCCCTCTCACTTTCTCTTTTCTTTTCTCCTTTTCTTTTCTCTTCTTTTCTGTTCTTTTCTTTCCTTTCCTTTTCTTTCTTTCTGTCTCTCTCTCTCTCTCTCTGTTAAGTTGCTTGAGTTTAGTCTTTTTGCTCGCAAGAAGTGTTTTGCGCCAATGTTATTTGGAAAAAATGAAAGAAGTGTTTTGGTGTTTCCGTGGCCAAGTCTTAAAACACTTGCACAACCAATAACCATTCGACCCTTCTTCTCACCCTCAATACCCTGAAACACTACAGCCATCAGTCACAGATTCCCAAAGCGCAAGCACCAAATGCCGCTTTTTTAACAAAAAATGCAAGCAGTCTCACTGATCCAAAGATCAGTTCTTCTTGAACAGCTTTCGCAGGTCTTCAAACAAACTTCCTACAAAGTGTTTACAAAGTTTTGGATCTTTACAAAAAATTGACAAAGTTTTGGAATTACAACTTTTTTACCGAGTTTTTGCATTACAAAGTTTTAACAAGTCTACAAAATTTAAAAATAGAAATAACAAACTTCACAAAGTTTTGGAAACTTACAGTACATTGAATTTTACAAAACTTTGGAACTACAAAGTTTTTACAAAGTATTGAACCTTTAGATATTTGAACAAAGCTTTGGACATTTATCAAGCTTTGAACAAGTTTTGGAATTTTACAAAGCTTTTACACAAGTTTTTGATGCTTACAAACTTTCTACAAAGTTTCGGATATTTTTCAATCTGTGTCAAAACTTTGTAAACTTTATTATTTGAAACTTTGCAAAACGTTGTAAACATTGTAAGAACTTTGTAAACTTTGTAAATACTTTGTAAATTTGTAAAAGCTGTGTAAGCTTTGTAGAAACTTTGGTGAAATTCAAAAGCTTTGTAAACTTTCAAATCTCTGCAACAACTGTGTAAAGATTGAAAAAACTTTGCAAACTTTGTCAAAGCTGTTGTTAAAATTGCAACATTTTTAAACACTGAAACAGTTTAAACTTCGTAAACGATTGTAAAAACTTTGTAAACTTTGTTAAAATTGTAACATTTTTAAACACTGAAACAGTTTAAACTTCGTAAACCTTTGTAAAAACTTTGTAAACTTTGTAAAACTGTGAAAAAACTGTGAAAACTTTGTGTAAAAATTGTAAAATGCAAAAACTTTGTCAAAACTTTGTGAACTTTGTCAAAATGTTTGTAAACATTGCAAACTTTGTACACTTTGTACTAACATTTTGTAAACTTTGTAAACAACTTTTAGATGTTGTAGGCCTTCGTAAACTCTATTTAAAAAAGACGTTATAGACTTCGTAACACTTTGCAAACTTTGTAAAACGTTTTTAAACTTCGTAAACTTTGTCAAAACATTGTAAACATTTTGAAAGACCTTGTGAACGTTGTGAAAACTTTGTAAACTTTGAAACACTTTGTGAATTTCCTAAAAACTTTGTACAAATTGTGAAACTGTACAAGATTTGAAAAACTTTGTAAAATGTAGAGAGAAACTTTGTAAACTTTGCAAATAGATAAACTATCAAAACTTTGTAATCGTTGTCAAAACTTTGTAAACTTTGTCGAAACTCTGTAAACTTTGCAAGACTTCGTAAACTTGGCAAAATCTTTGTAAACTTTCCAAAAACTTTGTAAACTTTGTAAAAAATTTGTAAATTTGTGTAACAAAAGGCAAATGTCGCAAACTTTGTCAGAACGTTGTAAACTTTGTAAAAACTTTGTAAACTTTGTAAAAACTTTGTAAACTTTGTATATTTTGTAAAAACTTTGTAAACTTTGTAAAACTTTGTAACCTTTGTAAAAACTTTGCAAACTTGAAAAACTTTTGTAAACTTTGTAAAAACTTTGTAAAAACCTTGTAAACCGTGTAAAAACTTTGTAAACTTGAAAAACGTGTAAACTTTGGAAAAACTTTGTAAACTTGAAAAAGCTGTTGTAAACTTTGTAAAACGTTGTACAACTTTGTAAACTTTGTAAAAACTTTTAAAACTTTGTAAACACTTTGTGAGACTTTGTAGACTCTGTAAAAATTGAAAAACTGTGTAAATTCCGAACTTTGCAAGAACTTTGTCAAATTCCAAAGCTTTGTAAAAACGTTGTAAACTTTCAATACTGTGCAAAAACTGTGTAAACTGTATAAACTTTGCAAATTCAAATGTTGTGAAAGCTTTGTAAACTATGTAAATACTGTGTAAAGTTTGCAAATGTTTGTACACTTTGTAAAAACTCCATGTAAAAATTGTAAAATGTGCAATCTTTGTAAAACGATTTATAAACTTTGTTCAAGCTTTGTAAACTTTCAATACTTTGCAAAACTGTGTAAACTTTGTAAAGAATGTCAACATTGCAGCAACATTGTAAATCAATACGTCTTTAATTGATTTTTTAATGGTAAAACCTTTGTAAACTGGGTAAACTTTGGAAATTGTTCCAAACTTTGTAAACTGTGTTAAAATATTGTAAACTTTGTAAAACTTTGTAAACTTGGTAAACGGTTGTAAAACTTTGAAAACTTCATAACATCTGTGTAAAACTTTGTAAACTTTGTACCAACTTGGAAAGCTTTGTAAAAACGTAGTGAACTTGGTATAAACTTGGTAAACTTTGTCAACACTTTGTAGACTTTGTAAAACATTTTTAAACTTTGTCTAACTTTGTAAGCTTTGTCAACCTTTAAACTTGTAAAACTTTGTAAGAACTTGATAAAACTTTATTAAGACGTTGTAAAATTCGCAAACTTTGTAAAAAGGTTTACAAACCTTTTACGAAGTTTTGGAGTTCTTCAAATTGTTCTTCAAAGTTAGAGCAACGTTTTACACAGTTTTGAGAACGTTTACAAAGTTTTATTTTTGTACAAAGTTCTACAAAGTTTATAAAACTTTCACAAAGTCTTAAGAATTTGTACAAAGTTTGCAACTTTTGCAACGAGTTGACAGAGTTGTTGAATTACAAACAAATTTACAAAGGTTTACAACGTCTACAAAGCTTTTACCATGGCCGTTCACTCACCACTCACGAGACAAACAAACCTATGAAATAGTCCTTTGGGTCTCGTATGTTGCCACTAACAACGCAAAAAACACGACGTGTTTTATACCCTCTCTTAGTTCTGAACAACCAATTCTTCAGAGGTCCGCAAGGGTCAAAAACACTTCTTCTGCGCTAATTCCCCCAAAACAACGAACGACGGTCCCCAAGCAACTTAACATCTCTCTCTCTTTCTTTTCTTTTTTCGTATATTTTCTTTTCTTTTCTCCTTTTCTTTTCTCCTTTTCTTTTCTCCTTTTGTTTTCTCTTCTTTACTTTTCTTTTCTGTCCTGTCCTTTCCTTTCCTTTCCTGTTTTTCTTTCTTTCTTTCGTTCTTTCTTTCTTTTCTTTTCTTTTCTTTTCTTTTCTTTTCTTTCTTTCTTTCTTTCTTTCTTTCTCTCTCCCTCTCTCTCTCTCTCTTCAAGTTTATCTTTCTCTGTCTTTCTCTCTGTAGGGCGCGCTCTGAGCGCGCCTTTCTGGAGCGCACGTCAGAGCGTGCGCCACAGAGCCCAGCCACACAGAGCCCAGCCACAGAGTTGACAGAGTTCAGGGGCGCAGCCAAGAGAAGGACAACACAAGGGCAAGGCCTGGAGTGCGGCGTGGCCAAGAGGAGGCCAAGGCCCAGTCACAGAGCCCAGAGGAGGACAAGGCCCAGACAGAGCCCAGCCACAGGGGCGTGGCCAAGAGGAGGACAAGGCCACAGAGTTGACAAAGTTCAGGGGCGCGGCCAAGAAGAGGACAAGAGGAGGCCAGCCACAGAGCCCAGCCACAGAGTTAACAGAGTTCAGGGGCGCGGCCAAGAGGAGGACAAGAGGAGGACAAGGCCCAGCCACGGAGCCCAGCCACAGAGTTGACAGAGTTCAGGGGCACGGCCAAGAGGAGGACAAGGCCCAGCCACGGAGCCCAGCCACAGAGTTGACAGAGTTCAGGGGTGTGGCCAAGAGGATGACAAAAGGAGGACAAGGCCCAGCCACGGAGCCCAGCCACAGAGTTGACAGAGTTCAGGGGTGCGGCCAAGAGGAGGACAAAAGGAGGACAAGGCCCAGCCACAGAGTTCAGGGGCGCGGCCAGTGAGTGTGGCCAGCTCTTTTCTTTCTAAGATAGAACCCCAACAGTAAACTGTTTGAGGAAAAACACACAAATGAGCAATGAGCACATACGATGATGAATCTTCCGCCCAAGTACGCTATCAAGAATTGTAGGTTGTTAGTTAGTTGTTAATTGATTCTTTTGCATTGATGTCTGTTCTCTCTCTCTCTCTCAATTCGAAATCATCTGGTGGAATTCCTTTATTACATCCTTTGTCAAAAAGCTATTTATTGAGAAGTGCCAAACATCTACCCTTCCTGGGACACTACTTGAAGCGAAGGGTTCTTGACCTGGTGTCTGAGAATCCTCCTCAAATACTATCCTCCTGTGGTCTTGTTTCCAGAAAGATTCTCAACAATCAAGCGCCTTTAATCTCCCTTCATGAATGCTCGACTCCCTCTTGTGGTTGCTTGCCAATTCCAGTGTTGACATCATTCTGAAGCATTTGAGAGGGAAGGGGTCCGCTGTTGTTTATTTATCAAAGGTGGTCGTTCAATAAGTGGCGGTTTGTGTGGGCGGCCGTGTATCGTGGGATGCCTGTCATGTTCTGTTCTGTCAATGTTCCGTGCCGTGTCGAGGTACCGCGATCAACTGAAAGATCCTGGACTGGGAGCTTCTGGACAGGGCCCGAAGCCGCTGCCTGCGAGGTTCCAACGGCAAATGGTGAGGAGACGAGGAGAAAACGCCCGTCCCACGTATCAAAGCATGGTGGGTTCGTCTACTCCATGTCATCTAGGTGTTTGTCATGCGAGCTGCAGCTCTGCGTGCAAGCGACGGTAGGTGACTAGTTGAACCAATGCTGGGGTATGTTCACATCGTTCTAACTTACCTTAACCTGTCACTCAGTCAATGATCGCACATTGAATGTGGACCTGAAGGTTAGGAACCGGCTCTCTTCATTGTCGATGGATTGAATAATTTCACTAAACGGGTTCCGTTTTTGACCTTGGACCTGAACTACATACCTTCCAGGTTCGGCAGCATTCGACCGTGCAGCATGCATGACGAATCGACGTGTCGCAAGGCAACAAGTGTGAAACACACGTAAACGGGAGGAAAAAGGAGAGGCTTCCAAAACATAAATATTTGGAGGGCTTTATTGCTTACATACGGTATGGCAGTAAACTCCCCATCTCCCAAGCTAAAATGGTAAGTGCCTGGCAGAGGAAAATCACTTTGCAGACGTGGTTGGGTCTCCAAAAGGGTAGCAAGCTTTCATACATTCTAAGGCCAAGTTCCCCAAACAGGCGCCTCCTTTTGCAAGAATTCTTTGAGCTCTTCAAAGCTGATGAAGCCATCTTGCGAGCGATCAATTTCCTGGGGGGGGGAACACTTCCAAACCTCTGACGTGATGCAAATGGAGGTTGGGACAAGCATTAGCAAAGCCTGGTGTTGGCCAAAACAACCGGTCTCTTCTTGATGACCTACCTACCCTTCCATTTATAGCTATAACAGGTCAAGTAAAGCCTACAGTCCTACAGATTATATATATAATCGAAAGCTCATCAACTCCTCTATTAGTGGGCCTAATTGAGATCCAACAAGATTGAGCTGCTGACCTCCCCTTGCAGACTCCCCCTCACAAACGCAGCCCGTGTTGGAAGAATGAAAATGAGTTCCTGCTGTGTTTGTTGCAGCTGCGGGGTTGCCATTCTGAGCTACAAGTACAGGTGTGTTGCTCATGTTGCAAACAGCAAGCATTGATGAAGATGATGCGGCTCACCTCTGGAATGCCAGCCAAGAGTCTTTCATGAATTCTTCAACGGTTTTCCCTTCAGGAAGAACAATGGACAGGGAGCCATCTGTTTTCAGGATGGATGACAGCTCTTTCAGAGATATCTTTCCATCCCCGTTCACGTCGAAGACATGGAAGACGTGGGACAAAGCACTCTCGATCAGATCGGTATGGGCATCCAAACATCCAGCAATAAATTCGGAATAGTCTGCCTCGCAAAAGCCACTCAAGCCACTGGCTGCTCGATCAACAAGTACGACACCAATTTTGAGCAATTCCACCAGTAATTAATATATATACCTCCAAAGAATGATATGACGCCCCAGGTCACCACTCTGAGTTCCCAAATCCTGCACCATCCGATTTTCTCTGGGCCAAGTGGATTCGCCATAGATGAAACACGAAACATTTTTTTCAAGAAGACTCCTTCTGACTCCTTCCACGAAAAAAACGAATGGCCACTGAAAGGCGATCGGCCATCGGAAAAATTGCATGTCCGACCATAACACCTTTCAGAACGACTCAAAATCTTTGGAATGCCTTGACACTGGGAAAGCTGGCAGCTTGTTGTCCGGACTCCTACAGAGTTGATTGGGCATCATCAACGCATCTATATGCATCTATGACTCTATCTATGATGGTGCAAGATTTTGTCCATCGGAGCATGAGGTATCTTTCAACTGCATTTCGGCAATACCTGCGAACCACTAATTGTCTGCCCAAGAATGCAAGGGGAATGATTGATGAGATTTCGGAGTCTTTGCCAGCACACTTTCCAGAATCCTTGTGTTCTTACCTGCTACCAGATCCATCATATCCGGAGCAATTCCCTTCCAATTTAGATTGTCGCATCCATGGCACGCTTCCACTGTGATCCATATCAAGGGCGTCCACAAGCGCTTCGATGGAATCAGGATCCAACACTTGCCTCAAAAGAAACATGATTAAGAAGTCAATTCCTTTAAAAATCTTTAAAAGGGCCTTTCCTGCCTTCTCCTGGTCTCTTTTGCACAAGGAGGCCCAAGGAGAAAAACATCAAACTAAACGCACTGATTTTGGTGGTTTTGCTTTCTTATGATGCCTCTGAAACCAGGCTATGGATTTGGGCATGTTTGGGCTCATGGTGATGGAACATGTGGCAGCGTACCACGCATCTTGCATTGGCAACCTGGCCTGAGCCCTTCCTTGAACTCCTGCATTGACAGCTTGCCGTTTCCTCAGGCAAATCAGCTCATGAAGTGGTTGGAGAGAACAAATTGTCGCCAATACTAATCTACCTACCTATATATTGTTTTAATTCTTTATATACACCTATTTATATATATATATTCACCTACTTTTATATATACGCATATATAATATAGTTATGTCATAAACTTATAGGCACTTGATTGCCAGCAGCCTTCAACAGGCTCGATTTATGTCGTGAAGCAGATCCAAAAAGACATTGCCCTGTCTAGCTCGTGGGATCGGCTGCAGAGCTGATAAATGCTATGTTGGACCATCCTTATGTTCAAGGGTCCTCCATTTCCGGTACATGAAACTTGCAACGGCCAAGGTCAAAAGGAAGTAAAGAACGAAATCTCGCAATGGTGGACCCCTCGCAAACCCAATGACAGTCATAGGCGGCCACATGATCAGGAGCCCCCTCTGCCGACATGACGATCGTCACCCTGTGGGGATCAGATCGACGTCCCTTTTCGACTGGTGGCGATCGACATCCAGCTTCTTGAAGAGGTCGTTGAGTCCGTCCAAGCTGGAGGTATCCATCTGACTGGCTGCGCACAAGTACACTGCCTCCCAGAAGTGGTCTCACATCTGGAATGTCCGTGCTGAGCACCCGAAGACGAAAGACGGGTTCCGGTCAAGGGTTGATGCGGGGTGCAGCGGCATATGGAGCCTCAAAGTTATGTGATATAAAGGGAGAAGGGGACAGTCGAAATGCACGGAACTACCTCGGCACGCACTAGTCCACATGTCATATGTGATTGGACGGTTTGCGACGTGAATTCATGTGATATCGCCCCAGTATTGACTGTACCTTCCTTGTGGGTTGCTCCGTCCTTCTTACACAAGAACTCCATCCCCCTTTTGGAGCGCCAACACGACCAGCGACCCGTTGGTCGGCCTTGGAAAAGGTACTCTTCTTGCTGAAGCCGATGAGCGAGGTGACGTTGCCATCTGGCCCAGTCACTTCTGGCCAGTTCATTTCCTTTTGGGCCTGGGCCCAATATCAGAAGGACAACTTATCATATGGGTGTAAGACAAAGTAAGACAAAGGGAGGCAGGCCCTCAACCAATCGTTTTTTGCATATGTGTGTGTGTATCTCTTCTTCTTCCAGGGGTCTTTGGGAGCGGCCTTCTAAACATCAACAGTTGTAATTTGGGGGGTTCTGTTTGCAAACTACAATGGAACTGGCAGGTGGAGCCAGCCTGCAGCAAACCTCCAGAGCCCAGACATGCTTGGCATCCAATGCAGCTGCGCTTCGCACAGGCTATCACAGGCTAAAAGGAGCAAATGGGATAACAAAACAAAGTGGACCAGGGAGATGTGATCAGGAAAGCACGCCAAAAAGCAAAGAATCTAGTCTTAGAATCTTGAATCGGAAAATTTGGGGGAATATGCAGGCGTCCTATTCCACTACAGATTTGCTAAAACAATGCTAAAACAAAGCAAACTCGGGTCGCTGAGACATGCTGAAACTGTTTTTCCCAACTTTCATGCCACAGTCAAGAGCGATGTCAGGAGCAAAGAAACTTTGTTATCTGCAGCATGGTCCGGTTGGATGAAGATGGGCAAATGCCTATTTGTCAGGGGTCCTATCACATCTAACATAATATTTCCCAAGGGTCCTATTTCCCAGGGGTCCTATTTCCGGTAATATAATATAATTCAGGGAGAGGAAGGTTGGATCAGTCGTTCAAAGGCAGTTCCAAGACTGGTACGTCTCGCATGTTTTTCCATTGAGGTGTCTTGTTCTGATCTCAACTCCCTCATTCAGTTTTACAGTCTTCGGACAAAGGAAGAGGAGAAGAAGAGGCAGACCACAGAGAAAGACGAAAACACCTAAGACCGCAGCTCTACACTCTACACCTTTTGCTCGGTAGCATCATCCACTGTTCTTTCCGACCCCTGTCATCAGCCTCATCGGAGGAGGGGCGCCAGGCTTCCTGCTTCTCCAACAGCCAGGAGATGAACTTCACTGCTGCCTGCCACTCGCCAAGCACCAGCGCTTCGGCACATGTAAACCCAGACTTGAGACAGCTGACATCCATGGTCCACTTTCTTGGGGCCCATCTGATCAGGTGGGGTCGGGACATATGGCACCACCTTGATATATATATATATTGAGAGAGAGAGAGATATTTATATATATACATACTCTTGTCAGCATCCTTTTCTAGTTCGCTCTGCAGCAAGTTTGTCAAAATAATAGTAAACAATTGAGAAAAATCTTACGAAAAAAGACCGGGTTGGTTACCCCCCCCCTCTTTGGTCCACTACACAAAGAAGGGGACGTTCCCGGGTAACCTTCTGACGCCAGGGTATCGGCGGCCAGTCCACGCCCTTCCCCGGATCGCCACAAATGTTCTATGTATTCCTTCACAAGGGGATCTAAAAAACCGCGGCGGGTTGGTAAAGCTAAACCTTCCTCTTTGAGAAAGGAAAGAAAACGATTCAAAGCTTTATCGTAACAGGCACGGGTTGCCGGCTGCACCGTGAGACCACGCAAACTACCTAACCTTTGCCTTTCTCTCGCTCTGATGGCTTGAGTGCTACCCTCAAGGACGACCTTTGGCATGCCTAAACTTCGTCTTCACTGACCACCGCCACGGCTTATCCGCCGGGTTGAGGTCAGTGTGCACATATCCCCGCAGTGCACCCATATTGTGGGCCAACAGAAGCGAGTCGATTCGGCAAAGGGTTCGTCGTAAACGTCTCGAGGAAGTTCGTCCGCGTGTCAGGCTGTGTAGGCAAACAAGGGAGTCTGTAAGGTGTAAAATTCGGCACGCGTGCTCGTTCATGTGTTCACACCGCCATCGAAGACAAGCCAAAATAGCTCTTAGCTCCAATGAATTGATATGTTCCCCTTGACTGCGCCACTTCCAACCTGAGATCACCTTCCAGCGCCACATCTGGGCATTAATGGTGCGCCGTAACCGCTGATAGCTTTGAATCTCATCTTGAGCTGCGGTAAGCATCAGATCGGAGCCCTTGGTGGACACAAGCCGTCCCAATTGGTTCACCAATGCCCCTTCTGAGACCTGACTAGGCTTCCGATCTGGCCGAAGTGGGGGCCTCATCAGCCGAGATTGAATGAACGGGTTGCCCTTCAAGGTAAGATGCGAGTCCAGCCCCCCGAGGTCCAACCAATTGTCCAATAAGCCAGCTCACCACTGGCACTGCCCATGCGTTGCCCACCAACGTCAGCCGCTTGTCGTTGTAATCCATCATTTTCCTCTGTGACTTGGGCAGGCGCATTTTTGTGTACCCTACGGGAGTCCCATCATAAACTCTCTTTCACTGATGCTCGGAAGTCTGTAGTCACCACGATTGTTGACCAGGCAGTTTCGTGGGATGTACTGATAAGGCGGAAACCTATGCTGATCTTGTTCCCATCGGACGATGGTGGCTTTGTCACAGGCATCCAAGCCCGCAGGGCGGTGCCCCCGTGCTGAACGTGGGTGAAGGTAGGGCAAGGTCTGTCAGCGTCCACCTTCGTCCATCCGGCCTCCACTGAGGATGTCCAGGGCTGGCGCCCCGTGACAATCACGCGCCCGTCATCCACCTGCACGTCTTCATCATCGAAGTTAAGTTCCCATGTGATCCAATATACAGCCTTGGACGGCTGCACCAACATAGAGTACCTGCATCGATTTGCCAGGGTTTATCCCTGAAAGAGGCGGACATGATCTCCTTGTCGCGATCGTCCATGGATGCCACACTCTCCATCAAGCAATGGGTTTGCGCCCACGGGAATTGCTGCTGGATCATAGCTCGCAACCGCTTGACGTGGATGAACAGGGATGAACGTTCACCCCGCAACGCCCCTTTCCGCTGACTGTTCAGGCCGGATACCCCTTGGCAGGGTGGCCCCGCCCCGATGAGGATCAGGGACGCCTGTCCGTACCGCAGCGCCCACTTCTGTACATCGCCTTCCTTGACCTCCGCGGCGTCTTTGTATAGTGCCAACTGTCCGGAAAATGATGCTCGACTACTCGGCGTGCCGCCACGTCCTGCTCAACGCAGATGTGCTCTATCGCGTCACATCCCAACAAGTCCAGGGCAACCCGAAGGCAGCCTATACCGTCGAACAGGCCGATGCTCAAGATCCGTTGTCCACCACTTGACACCATGTCTCAGCATTCTTCTCCCAGGGCCACCTTTTCCCCGTACGTCGTAAGGCTTGTAGCTACACACACACACCCTCCTTGCTGGGAGGCGTCACTACATGTGACCTTTGGCTTCAAGGCCAGACGAAAGTCCATCCGGCACAAGGGAACCAGGCATAGGAATCGAATGATCTCTAGTTTCACCCCCCCTGGGATGACCTGTTTGTGGCGTCCGCAGGAGTTGAAAGATTCAATGAACGTCCAGCAGAGGTTCAGGCCTCCAAGCAATTGCCGTCTGAAAGTGGAGAAATAGACGAGTCCTCCACAAACCACTTGCGTCTGCCTTTGTGAGCAATACGTCTCGCTCAACAACCGGTAGGCGATGGTAATGTACTTGGAGAGCTTTTGGCCCTTAGGGTACGCGATGCCCCGCTGACCGTCCAATACTGCTCCCTGCGCCTCCGCGATGACCTTCCGGCTTACAGCCTTCTCTGGGTGGCGAGGGAGCCCCCAGGATGAATACTCACGCTGCAAGGCCTTCACCTCCGGGGCTTCCTCCTCAGCGACTCTTCCTAGTACCTTGTGGAGTATTTCTCTAGCAGATCATAGTTGTCGAGATAGACTCGCCAGACTGCTTTGCCCTCCGGTAGTATTCTATCCTTGTGGGGACTCTTGTGTGCGAATGCTACGCTCCTGATTGTGGTCTTGCGATCGTAGTACCAAGACTCTGTGAACGTGTTGCGCAATTCCTACACTGTTCAAAAGGCCCATAGGCAATACCTTCGAACACAATGAGCGCCCCCCTAGATACACTACTTATATCTTAAGTTATTCTGTTTAAAAAAGTCTTAACTAAGTTAAAAACAAGTTATGATAGCATTGCCTTAGGCTATTTACAAGTTAGTTATAACTAAGTTATTAAGTTCCATAACTTCAAAAAAGTGCAACATCTAATTTTCTAGCAGGCTCATACAAACAAACCCAAAAGAGCTACCACGTGTACCACCACCAACAAGGAACAAACAACAGAGAAGAATGTGGGTGGACCGCCACCCACAAAACATCAACAGACGTTGAACCAACAGACATCTCTGCAACGTTCCACTCCAGCAAAGGTTCTTCTCACAGAAGACAAAGCACTTGCTCACCCTGCACGCTCCACCAAGAAGTATGCCAAGAAGGTTGCCACAACCGACACTGTTTGTCGATATGAATGGCGTTGGTTTCCCGCGTCTTCGTAAAGACACGGCTATTTGGCACCAAGGGTGAAGTTTCCTGCAACTTCTCTGCAAGGATATAAAAATCACCACCGCTTTCCACAAACAAAATGCACCCAATACGCAAGGTCAGGGCCCATGAACAGCACGTCATGCTGGGCTAAGCTGGCTCAGTGACGGAAACAGCTGGCTGACTGTTAGTTGAAAGAGCTGCAGGTATGTAGCAGGGAACAACTGACTGTCCTGTCCTCAACTTCAGCAATTCAATCAACTATATATCTATGAACCAATGATTCACACCCGGTAAACAGCTGACATAAGTTAGTCGCAGTCACACTTGAAACAGCTGACGGAAGTTGACCTTTAGACTGACTGTTCCAGCTTGACTCTGCAATTGCCTTTGATCAGCTCTTGAGGTCATGGCAACACCCCAGAGCATTGTAGATTGTGACCTCCAGTGACTCATTTATGTAACTTATCTAGATCTTATTTATGTAACTGTTCTGATGCTGACTGGAAACCTGAGGCAAAGCTTTTGAGTCAGCCGCAGAAGTAGGACCAGATGACAAAGGCCCACTCGACCTGGGCATTGTCATCAGCGCCGCAACCCAAAAAGTGTTGAACTGAACTGTTCCATAAACACAACAGAAAACACTCTTTTGATTCACATGGACAGTGAAGACGCAACTGAGACTATTCTTGCCTGACAGGTTAGACAACACACACACTTTAATTCCAAACACATTCCTACACCACTGCTCCCACAGCTGATGAATCAATGCTGCCACCTGCGCAAAGCACCAGACAGACAGGCTCCTCCTGGCTTCCACGTCCAAAGTCCTTCGCAAAGGTCAACCGCAGATTAATTGTCATCAATTAAGCACAATCACACCAAGGCCCATGCACTCGTGCAACAAAGACTGCCAGACTGTTTTTGAAGCCCTGGTTGCATCTGTGTCGGCTAGTCGACCATCATGGCAATACGAATGCCAAGCTCACATTGCCTTGGCATTGGAACTGCAACTGCGAATGAAACCAACGCCAGAGACAGCATTCAGTCAGAAGCCCGTTGGGTTTACAGTACAGGAAAGCTCAGTCAGCAACTCACACCTCCTCGTCCTCCTCCTTCTGCAAGCCCTCAATGACACCAAAGGAGGCATTGCGTCGTACCTGAACGATGTGCAATAAATACAAGCTAGGTTCCCTACTATGAAGTACACTGATGCAATCTTACTCATTAGGACTCCACCACACCTGCCTTGCAAGGCTTCAAAACAACACCAGAGACGCAGAAGTGCAAGATTCCATTGCCTAAACAGAATCCCACTGACAGTGACACATCAGGGAAACGCTGCAAATAGGATCATCTAGTGAACTTACAAACTTAACGAAGCTACGCACCATGTACAGATCATGGCCATCACCATATGGCACCCCAGCATAGTTCTTCCCAGCAATGGGAACACGGACTTCGATCTTACATTCCTGCAGAGCAAGCAGAGCAAGATACAATTGACAATTGATTAGGCCCTTCACACTCACTGAATGGTTCACCACAACTTTCCATGACATTGGCGATCCTTGAAGTACCTTCCCCTGTTTCTGGCCTTATTGAGAAACTCTTTCGCCTGGTGTTTGGTCATGCCTTGCGCCACACAG